TTGTTGCATACTTGTTGCATGCTTGGTACATTGTTGCATACTTGTTGCATGCTTGGTACATTGCATGTTGTTGCATGCTAGTTGCATTACATAACATTTTTGCATGTCATGTTGCATGTGTGCATCGCATTGCTGGTGGTGGCGGGTGGTGGGTAGTGGTGGCAGTTGGGTGATGAGTGGTGGTGGCAGGTGGTGGTGGATGGTGGTGGCGGAAGACGGTGGTAGAAAATGGTGGCGGGTGGTGGCTAGTGTTGGGTGATAAAAAAAAAAAAACTGAAAACTCAAAATGGAAACACATTTTTTGTATTTCATTTTTTGGCCAAATTTATAAACTGAGACCACTGATTTATAAATCAAAAACTTTACCAAACAAGTTTTTATTTGATTTTTTTAAATTTTTGTAAATATAAACAGAAAACTGAAAACGTAAGTGTTACCAAACGACACCTGGGTGTTTTTTTTTAAACTCCTTTTTTTAAGGACCATTCAAAATTTGTTTTTGTTCAAAAAAAAAAAAAGTGAAAATTCATGAGTTTTTTAGCATTTTTTATTATTTTATTTCCCAAAATACAAATAATAAAAACAAAAAGTAAAAATGAAGAAAACAAAAAACGACTCTATTTTCTTGTTTTTTTTCACCAATCTCATGCTTTAAGAAAACGCATTTTTTTAAAAAAAAGTTTCTACAATTTTCACCTCTTTAGGCCTTGTTTGTGAAGGTGTTTTTTAACAACAACAACTAAAAAAAACTAAAAAACCAGTATAAGTTTTCAAATTATCCTTTATTTTTTTTATACATATATTCATAAAAAATAAAAAATCACAACAAAAAAGGAAGTCAATTATCAAACGAAAAACTATTAGTTGGTCTTGAGACGCCACGTGACTACACTTCATATTAATCACAATTCAGTATACTATTTATATTCCCCAATCATTTAATACAAATTTATAAACCTTACAATTTTCACTAATCACAGCATCATTAGAGACACACATAATGGTGCCGAAGACCTTCAATAACTTCCCTTATCAAACACCTTTTATCCTATCTGTGGGGATATATTTTCTGAGTACCAACACGTGGTAAGGTGATACCGACGTGTCAGTCGAGGTGCCACGTGTCCTGGTCGTGACGCCGAGGTGATCTCGACAAGGCCGAGGTTATCTCCGAAGATATCGGAATCCAAGATAAGTGGATAAGGGACAAGAGTTCTAAAATGAAAAGGGAACTCAACCTGAATGAGGGACAAGAGTCCTAGAATGAGAGAAGACTTCAGTTTGTATTAAGATAAGACTCTTAGAGAGTTTATCCTAATCTTACTGGGAGTCCAAGATTAGCAGTAATCCTGAGTCCATTGAAGTTAGGCTTCTATTGGGACTAGGTTTATGTTGGCTATAAAAGAGAGGCACCCCCATGGGTCTAAGGTATGTTTTTTAGGCTCAAACTTGTGAGTTGAATAATTGATTATCTTTGAGAGATATACTGACTTGATCGTCGGAGTGCCCCCGGGTGGACGAACCACCACGGGATTCTTATATTTCTGTTCAGGTCAGTCAGGTGCCATCTATTCTGCCAGTGCTCTCCAGCTGAATTATTGAGTTGGCAGTGTGGTCGGAAAATTTCCCACACAATATCAAAAACTTTCGAGTGTGTTTAGCTTGTGTTTATAGAGTAATTTTTTAGACAAAAAAAGTACAAAAACTTATTTAGTTTGTTTTTTTCTAAATATTCTCTCTAAAATAATTTTGGTTTTTTTTGTAGAACAGTTTTTGAGATAAAAAGTACAAAAACTTATTTGGTTTGTCTTTTCTCAAATATTCTCTCTAAAATAATTTTGATTTTTTTTGTAGAGTAATTTTGGAGATAAAAAAGTACAAAAACTTATTTAGTTTGTCTTTTTGTAGAGTACTTTTTGAGATAAAAAGTATAAAAACTTGTTTAGTTTGCCTTTTTGGAGAGTAGTTTTTGAGATAAAAATATAAAAACTTATTTGATTTGCCTTTTTTACAAACATGTTCAAAAGTAATCCTGAAAATTGGGTAACCAAATACATTTCTAAGAGTTTTTTTTGAGAAAATCTATTTAGTTTGATTACTTTTAAAAAAGTATTTGTAGAGTATATTTCTATAAAATTTCTCCCAAAATCAAATCAAATAAGACCTTCGTCTCTTAAAAAAAAAATAAAAATAAAAAGAATTGACGTCGTTGAAGTTCCAGGTCATACTTGGTTTTAAGTTCGGAAAATACTTTCTCAGAAGCTTAAAAATTTTTTGGGAAATTTTGTTTGGCCATCTGTCACCGTAAGGAGTTGTTTGGGATGACCTAAATAAGTGCACTTTTTATCTTTTTACGAAAAGATATGTACAAAAATAGAGAAGTGATGTGATGAAAAAAAGATAAAAAAGATGAATTATTCTTGAGTTGTCAAACTTTACCTAAATTTGAGTGAAGAGTTAAAAGTAAATAAATAAATAAAAAGGACAGGTTAGAGAGAGAAAGTGTCTAGTATAATTTTAGAGAAAGAAAATGTACACTATACCTTTGGCAGATATATAATGAAATGAAATGAAAATTATATACCTTTAGCAGATATATAAATAGTACAAATGAAATGAAAATAAACAGTAGATTAAACGTTGCCTTTTGCAACCTTTTCTCACTCCATACATTACTCTCTCTCTCTCTATCTCTCTCTCTCTCTCTCTCTTAGTATTTATACTCCTATTTACTTCGTCTCTCTCTACGCTCTCAGCTCAGAACTCTCTTTCTCTCACTAGAATTCAATTAACTCGAGGCTTCATAAAAGCCCTGATCTACTGTGTAGCACTGAGATTGGGCAGAATCGAACCTATTTATTTATTTATTTTAGTTCACTTTAAAAAAAATTAAAATATAACAACAACAACAACAACAACAGCAACAACAATATTCTTGGAAAAACCTAATTATAGATATGTATATAGCTGTAGCATATTCTATACAATCACATGTTGAATCGATATATATATGCACACGGGTATGTGCAATAGATCCATACCAGTTTCAGTCAATTTGGTGCAGATGATGGTCTCTATTCCGTTTCTAGGGTTTGGACTCTGTTTTTTCTGTTTTTGTTTTTTGGAAACTGTTTTGTTGTTATTTGGTGATTTGGGTAGTACAGGAAAGATCTAAGCTTTTGGGTTCTGGCATTTTGATATTATCTGGGTTTTTAGTATTGAATTTTTTTTATTATGTCTTACAGTTTTATGACAGTATGGTTTGAATTTTTTGTTTTTACATTGCCGTTTAATGTAATTTCGACAAGTGTAATTGTAGAATTATATGTAGATATGTACGATCATAAAAGTGAATCTCATTAATTTTTTAAAACTGGTGTAAGTCAACTCATTGAACTGCTCTATTGCCAGTAAATTAGGTGGTTTCATCATATATAGTTAAGTTTGTGAATGGTCTTGGGTTAGGTCCTATTAAAGTGTTGATCTCGTTACTTTTAGTACTTATTCCATGTTATAGAATTTGGATTTTAGACAGCAGTTTTCTTTAATTTTGATTTATTTTCAGTATTTGCCTTGTTGATTCAGGATTGGAAGTTTGAACTGTGGTTCAAAGAGAAAGTGTTTCGGCCATATGCAACTTTGTGGAGTTTGTGAAATACAATAATATCGGTTGTTTCCTTCTTGTGAACTTAACTTTTGGGTGGAATTTTGCCTTGGTATGTTAGTGCTCTAATCATATCCAGAACATGAGAAAAGAAATTCTGGAGTATTTATTGGAACATTCAGTATTAGCATGAAGGTGGTTTTGATTTGGAGCAGAACTAGAGTTAAAGTTTTGCTATGTCAGCTGTTGTCATGTGACTAAACCGATTTTGTGGGCAGCTGTTTAATTTGATCTGGGCAACTTAGCACAGTTATTACAGTGGTCTGCCAGATTTTCTTACTCGAGTAGTTGTATTGTTTGTATTCTCTGAAGATGGTGAGCAGTGTGGTTATATTGTCAAGTTCGACTTTATTTTGAATGAGTGATGAAGATTGGTGTTCTGCACTGAAAGTACATTTTTATTATGTAGCTGTGTACTTTATTGAGCTCAATAGTTGCCGGGAGGTTCTTCTGTTACTTGGAAGAGTTAGTTAACTATTAGTCTATAGCTCTGAATTCCTATTTATGTGAAGAGTCGAACAACATGGACACTGAAATTTTGACTCCTAACCATCAGCCAGGCATTGGTCAGCGGTTACTTCCAGCGGTTGTACCTGTGCTTTTAATTGCGATAGGATACGTTGATCCAGGAAAGTGGGCTGCTGCTGTTGAGGGAGGAGCACGTTTTGGGTCTGATTTGGTTCTGCTAATGCTTGTTTTCAATTTTGCTGCTATTTTATGTCAGTACCTTTCAGCTCGTATTGCTGTGGTCACCGGAAGAGATCTTTCCCAGGTATTTCTTCCTTATTTTCTTGATTCCGTTTATCATGAAATTCATCACTATCTTTAATATTTTGGCTTGTGTTTTTGAACTGTCATTGCATTTTTTTTTTTATAATTGGAAATGGAAGAAAATTTCAAAAATGACAAGTTTGTTTGTACATTGTAGTTTAAGATTAGCTTGCTTTTTCTGTTGCTAAATAATTATTATGGTTTTTCAGCTTTAACAGGGGTACATATAAAAATTTATGTTAAATTCGTATCTTACAATAAAATTGATTATTCATGTCAAAGTTCGAGTTGGTTTCATAATCAATAGAAATGGGGTTGATGAATTAGATGGAGAAGGAATGGAGATAAGTTCATTGTTAAGTCCTCCTACTCATTTTTGTGTGATAGGGAGTTGACAAACTTTCCTGGGAGTTAGTTTGGAATACTTTTGTTACCATCAAGATAGTTTTTTTTTTTTGGTTTCCTCTTTCTTTTGGAACAGCTTTATTGGATGCAATTTTGACTATGGATAGTTTGGGTAAAAGATGTTCCTGTTGCCTAATTGGTGTTGCATGTGTAGGAGAGTGGAGGAGTCAGTGGATCACTCATTGATGCATTGTGATGCTGCTAGCGATCAATGATTGTATGGTGTTTGGTATTTGGCATTTTTAGTGCGCTGGGTAGGTTTTGCAGTTGTTTGAAGGTTAGGAGCATGGGTGTCAAGTGAAGAAATAAAAGAAGGCTTGGAGAGTCATTGTGTCTCATCTATTGCCTTTCGAGGGAAAGGAATTGGACAACTTTTGAGGATGTACAGATGTCCATTCATTACTTTAAGCTTAAATTTTTTTTGTTCTTTTCATTTTTGGGTGAAGGAACAATTTTGTGAGTCGTCCTTTTTGTTATAGATTTCATAGGAGATATGCTTTTTGGGGAGGGCCTGCAGTTAATCATTCCCTTATGCTTTTGTTTTATTTGCCTTTTGATTGTACATACACTATCTTGGTGTCCTTTTAATATAATCATACTTCTAAAAATAAAAAAAAAATAAAAAATAGAAAAGAAAAGAAAAGGGCATGAAGTTAGAGAGCATTTTTTTAAAATGAATTTTCTATTATTTTGTCTATAGTTGGGAAACATTGTTGCGTTGAGTTGAGAGCCCTTATTTATTTGTTAGAATGGTGAATTTTTTTATTTTTTATTCTTTTGTTTTCAAGTTTGGATGGTCAATATAGAGTAATGCCTTCTAGGTACTATAAATAGGTTGTATGTTGTGCTTTGAACCCTTCTCATCATATGTACTGTTGTTATTTGTTGCTGTAATGCTGTTACTAAGTGCTGCCGATTTACTTGCATGCTTTTGCACTAGTCGCTAGCTACTTATATCTATATATATATATATATATATTTTTTTTTCCCCCCTTGTTGATGGCAAAGATTTGCCTTCTATGTACTTTAACTAGGTTGTATGCCCTGCTTTGAACCCTTCTCATCAAATTTAATGTTGTTATTTGTTGCTGTAAAACCTGTAATACTGTTATTAGGTGCTCTGTTGATTTACTTGCATGCTTTTGTGCCAGTCACTAACTAGTTAGATTTTTTTTTTTTCCCTTGGTGATGGAAAAGATTTGCAGTGAAGAGTATGACAAGACCACATGCATATTCTTGGGAGTTCTAACTGAGCTTTCCATGATTGCTTTGGACCTTACTATGGTATTTTCGCCCTTGTCATTAACTATTGATGATATATTTTGTTGTTTCTGTGAATCACAATCCCTCTCATATTTGCCTTTATTCTGCTAGATTCTGGGCACTGCACAGGGACTCAATCTAATTTTAGGCGCAGACCTATTCACTTGTGTCTTTCTGACTGCTATTGAAGCTGTTCTATTTCCAGTTTTTGCCACCCTCTTGGTAAGCTTGATTTCTCCCATTTCTGTATAATCTGTTGTTAGTATTATAATTTTGAAGCTGACAGTATTATAATATCAAGAAAACATATTTTTCAGGATAATGGGAAGGCAAAGTTCCTTTGCATATCAATGGCAAGCTTTATATTACTTTTTTATGCTCTCGGAATTTTCTTTAGTCAACCAGAAATTTCAATGTCCTCGAGTGTGATGCTTACAAAGTTAAGTGGGGAGAGTGCATTTACATTGATGAGTCTTCTTGGAGCAAATATCATGCCCCACAATTTTTATCTCCATTCCTCTATTATACAGGTCTCTCTCTCTCACCTTTTTCTAGTGAATAATGTGTTGAAATTCAAGAGAAAAGCTGAACCATTTCTCGTTACCACTTATCATTCCCCAGAAAATTTATTAACGAAGCTGGTGGCTGCCTTCTATTTTATGCTAAATATTTTATTGCAATGACAAAACATCTCTAGCTACAATTGTCTTAGTGGTAGTTGAGGGCTCAAAACTGATACACATTTTGAAGAGGACGTGGGCATGGACAGAGGCAGAAAACCTTTCTAAATTTAGGCACAATGCTGGCTTATATTTTGGCTGAGCAATGTAGCATTGTTGTCATTTCTATAAGCACATCATACTATTGAGTTTATGGACTAATTGCTTATATACACGGCAAACTCTGTTGTTTTAGTGCATTGTTGCATACAAATCCATACTCCTGAAGGGAGAGGCAGTGTAATATAGGCAGCCTACAAAAACCTATCATTTACCCTCAAGAGCATGAAAAATGAATTGTGCATAGGCTAAAACAGCTGAGCCAAGTCAAGTATTGAGGTGGTTGGACTTAGCTTGGATCACTTTACAGGGTTCAAACGCTGCTCAAATTTGTCATGAGCTCTGCTAGATTGAAATGGGATTCGGTGTTTTCGTGTTTCACTGTAGTAATATACGATTGTCTTGGTTTACGATTGGGTGTTTGTCTTGATTTATGATTGTCTTTTGCATTCTTGCAGCAGGAACCTGGGCTACCAAATGTTTCCAAGGGACTCCTGTGTCATGACCATTTTATTGCCATCCTATCCATCTTCAGTGGTGTTTTTCTGGTGAATTATGTGCTGATGAACGCAGCAGCAAATTTGTTCTACAGTACAGGCCTTGTTTTGCTTACTTTTCAGGATGCGTTGTCTCTAATGGATCAGGTTTGGGTTTCCATGAGCAATTCTTTGTGCTGTAACTTTTTGCATATCAGGTGGTTGCACTTGATTGTTCATTGTCAATTCGATGCATACTAAAGTAGTCCATTATCCAAAAAAATAATTATTGCAGGTATTTAAGAGTTCAACAGTGCCCTTTGCCTTTCTTCTGGTTCTGTTTGTCTGCAGTCAAATCACTGCATTAACTTGGAAGCTTGGTAGACAAGAAGTCCTGCATGATTTCTTTGGGATGGACATTCCTGGTTGGCTTCATCATGCTACAATCAGAATTATTGCCATTATCCCAGCCCTCTATTGTGTGTGGTTTTCAGGTGGTGAAGGTCTATATCAATTGCTAATAGTTACACAGGTAGTGGTTGCGCTCGTGCTGCCGTCTTCCGTGATCCCCCTTTTCCGGGTTGCCTCATCAAGATCTGTAATGGGCATCTACAAGATTTCTCAGTTTGTGGAGTTCTTAGCCCTGATCATGTTTATTGGCATGCTGGGCTTGAAGATTATTTTTCTGGTAGAGATGATATTTGGGAACAGTGATTGGGTTGGTAATTTGAGGTGGAATATGGGGAGTAGCATATCTGTATCGTACATCGTTCTTCTCATCACTGCCTCTTCTTCACTTTGTTTAATGATTTGGATTGCAGCCACACCATTGAAATCTGCTAGTTCCAGATTAGATGCTCAGGTATGGAATTGGGATTTAAAAGATGCTGTACCTGAGTCATATGCAGAGGGAGACGAGAGTGATTTTAATGAAACTAGGTATGGTAGGGTGGAATCCATAAAGAAGCATGAACCCGCAATAGCTCCAGGAAAGTCCTTGGAAGTTCACTCAAATATTTCAATTACAAGTACTGATGTGAATTTTCCCGTAACTCTCCTGGATACTGATAACATGCCTCATTTGACTCCTATTGAGGAAAATGGTTCTAATATTACGTATCCTAGTCCCTCTATGTTCCATCCAGAGGAATCAGCTACCACGATTGAAACGGTTGTGGTCTCAGCTGTTTGTAGTGAAGGTTCTGTTGATGAGTCAGTGGATTCCATTGCCTTGAGGACAGAATCAACAGGCTTAGTAGAAAAGCATGTAAATGTAGAGGAGGATTTACAGACTGGGAAGGATGAGGAGGGGGATAATTGGGAGCCTGAAGAATCTTTTAAAGGGGTGTCTGGGAGTAGCGCATTTTTAACATCTGAAGGCCCAGGGTCATATAGGAGTCTCAGTGGGAAAGGTGATGAATGTGGGAGTGGTGCTGGAAGTCTTACCAGATTAGCAGGATTGGGACGTGCTGCCAGACGTCAATTAGCTGCAGTTCTTGATGAATTCTGGGGTCAGTTGTTTGATTTCCATGGGCAAGCAACACAAGAAGCAAAGGCTAAGAAACTGGATGTGTTATTGGGGATAGAATCAAAGGTTGATGCAAAGCCTGTTACTCCACTGAAAGTGGACACCGGTGTGAAGGAATTTACTGGATACTTTTCAGCTGTGGGTGGAAGAGGGTCTGATTCTCCAATGAATTCAAGTGCATATGACTCTCCCAAGCTCCTTGGAGTGCAAGGCAGCATGGAAAGGGGGCCATCTTCATCATGGTCCGGCCGCATGCAGTTGTTAGAAGCGTATGCGCAAAACTGTGGCCACAATCTTGACTCTGGTGAGAGGCGATATTCTAGTTTGCGACTTCCACCAACTTCTGATGGCAATGACTACCAGCCAGCCACTGTACACGGCTACCCGGTTGCACCATATCTCAGTCGGATTGCTCAAGGAAAAAATTCTGATTACTTAAATGGCCAATTGGAGGCACTAGCCCCAAAATCCCCATCTTTGGGCACATCAAGTTACAGAGATCCACATGCTTTTGCTTCAGGACGAAAACCACAAAATGGGTTAAGCACTATGGCACCACCTGGTTTTTCAAAACCTGTTGTATCTAGAAATATTTCGTTGCGATCTGAAAGACCTTTGAATGATTATTGTTCTGCGGGGCCTGCCGACAATCTCAATAGCGCAGTCAATGAAAAGAAATTCCATAGCTTGCCAGACATAGCAGGACTCTCTCATCCTTACCGGAATTTGTACTTGTCTGATAGGAGTGCTCGATGGGACAGACCCATTGGATACGGACCATCTCTATACCCAAATACTTTATTGAAAGCAGGAGCTCCTTTGGGATTTGATGAATTCTCACCTTCAAAACCACACAGAGACCCTTTCACCTTACAGTTCAGCTCGAGCTCAGCAACTGGATCCCTGTGGTCCAAACAACCCTCCGAACAGTTTTCTGTGGCTGACAAAACACACAATATTGGTGATACGGGAGTAGGGTGTAAGCAGAGTTCACTTACTCCAGAAACTACATCTGTTGTGGATTTGGAACCAAAGCTACTTCAGTCTCTCAGAAACTGTATTGTGAAGCTTTTGAAACTGGAAGGGTCTGATTGGTTGTTTAGACAGAATGGTGGGGCTGATGAGGATCTTATAGATCGTGTGGCTGCAAGGGAGAGATTCCTTTATGAGGCTGAAACTAAGGAGATGAACCGGGGAGTTCACATTGGTGAATTTCAGTATTTGTTCGACAGGAAGCCGGGTTCTGTACTGAAAAATGATGATACAGATTATGCCAAATTTCTGGTTTGCTCATTTCCTAATTGTGGAGAGGGCTGTGTTTGGGGAGTGGATTTGATAACAAGCTTTGGGGTGTGGTGCATTAACCGGGTTCTTGAGCTCTCACTAATGGAAAGTAGGCCAGAGCTTTGGGGGAAATACACGTACGTACTAAATCGTCTTCAGGTAAACTTTCAAATTCCGTGCTCTATAACTATTTTGGAGTACATTGCATGTAGTTACTGTTGCATATACCATATAATGCCGCCTTTAAGTTACAAATGTTCTGCTCATAGTGAAATCTGCTAGGCTTTTAATAAGAGCTGTTTGAAAGGTCCATGTGGGCTAATTTGTTCTTTTGGATTTACGTGCCAACAATGCTACGATATTCTGTTGCATCCGAGAGAGGAGGTGAAGCCATGGCTTCTCGTTCGGTTGAGCCTCGCTTAGCCAGGAATGGTAGTGAAGTAAAGCAAACCCTATACTATCTGGGAAGTGGTGAATCAGAGCTGGAAGGGGTTTCGGTTTTCAAACAGTTCATTTTTACCAAAATTAGTAAGCCAGTCCAAAGCCCAAAATCCCGAATTTTCCAACTCAACATATGAATTTGGAAAACCTTAATGTTTAATTTTTTTTGACCAAATTCGTGGAATTTGAACTAAATTCTTAAAAACCAGGCCGCAATTTCAACTCAATTGATATTAAATGTTAAATTTATTTCCACAAATTCTGAATCACATTTTTTTACAATTTTGCCTAATATTCTTACTCTTGGACTGAATTTTGATCAATCAATTCAACTTGGATCAATTGTTCCAAATATGAATTTCAGCAATTTTTCATGCAAATTCACTCTGACATGGTTTAGCACATTGATTATATCACATTTAATAGTTGTACTCCGGCATGGTTGGTCTGTGGCTATATGTGAGACATAACATCCAGAAATGCCCAATTTTGATATGAAAACGAGGGGGGTACATGTCACTTTCACTTGACTTTCGATACTTGCAGCCTGGCTTCAGCTAAAATTTATTTTAAAATTTCTAATATGATTCAAACGAAATGGTTACCAATTCCAAGATAAACTTGTCATATACCTTGTATTTTTTTGTTTATTCATATTTTTTGTTTTTTTGTGTTTTTTTTCTTTGTTTGTCATTATTGTTTTGTTGTTTCTAGTTTGTTGACCCTGAGACTTTCATGTAGGGAATCATCAATGTGGCCTTTTCCAAGCCTCGTAACCCAGTGACTCCCTGCTTCTGCCTGCAAATCCCAGTGGTATACCAACAGAGGTTAAGCCCACCTATTTCAAACGGAATCTTGCCTCCACCTGCAACCAAACAGGGCAAGGGGAAATGCACAACTGCAGCGATGCTCTTAGACACAATCAAGGACGTCGAAATTGCAATATCTTGCCGAAAAGGTCGGTCCGGCACTGCAGCTGGTGACGTTGCTTTCCCGAAAGGAAAAGAGAACCTGGCTTCCGTTCTCAAACGCTACAAGCGTCGCTTGTCCAACAAACTAGGTGGCACTCATGAAGGTGGTGGCGGGTCTGGATCGCTCAAGGTTCTCACATCAGCTACTTATTGCTCGTAACAATTTCCCAAAAGTCCATGTCAACTTGGATGATATTCAGAGTTGTTTGATTTTGGTAAGCGGCTCATTGTCCATGCTGTTGTTATGGCTCTCTCTCTCTCTCTCGTATGAAATATTTGCTGCATATTTAATTTCCATGTATGTCATGTATACGTAGGATAAAATTACTGGATGTGTAATTGCAGCAGAATGGAAGAAAGTGGGTAAATGAAAGGTGGAATGTGATTATATCATAATTTTCATTTCAGTCAGTGTCTGAATTGCATTGATCTCTTTTTGTTATTGTTTTTTTTTTTATTATGAGGAAGTAGCTATTGCCAAAGTAGGAAAGGCTTTTGCCAAAATATACACTATTTTTGACTAGTTTAGTACAGTGATTTGAAGCATTGTTTGCTTTTGACATAGCCTACATTGTTTCAGCTATAGCCGCGGCCATTATATAAACCTGAAACTGCATTACAGTGTCGTTTATGTTATGAAGTCGAGTTGTTGGATAGAGAGAACCCAAATGACATCCCTTGGCTAGTCATATTGGGTGAGTTCTCATGGTTAATTATTAATTGGATGGTTTTTGCTCCATTTGATTTGCTTGAAGCATAACCTCATTCCATAGGACTCTGATTAAGGTGCTCTTCACTTGGGGTTAATCCATTTCATCTGAGCAAGAGGGAAGCTGGAATGAATGGGTGATTTGATGAGTGAGAAAATCCACATTAATAGAGAATTAGTTGAGTTAGTTGATGTCGTTACCATATAAGACAGAAATATACAAAAACAAATTAACATAATACGATATCTTGTGATATTCAAACTACTCAACTTGAGAATATTTCTCTTAGTCTTACCTAGAGCATCCTCGTCAAACTCTTCAAAATCGTTTTTTAGCTGAAAATTTCAAAAATTCAATTCTATCAAATTCACTATAATTCGTCAAAATTTACGATGGCTACAGTAATTCGTTACAACAAGCGAGGCACTGTTCATCACTACTTGTGTGTTACTGGATAGAAATATACAAAAACAAATTAACATAATACAATATCTTGTGATATTCAAACTACTCAACTTGAGAATATTTCTCTTAGTCTTACCTAGAGCATCCTCGTCAAACTCTTCAAAATCGTTTTTTAGCTGAAAATTTCAAAAATTCAATTCTATCAAATTCAGTATAATTCGTCAAAATTTACGATGGCTATAGTAATTCGTTACAACAAGCGAGACACTGTTCATCACTACTTGTGTGTTACTGGATGTTCGTCCGAAAATTTGGCCGGTCAATTAGTCATCGGCAATTTTTTTTTTTTAAAGAATTGTTAGATTGGTAATTTATCAATTTAATTAAAAAAAAAAGAATAACAAACACAATAATAAAATAATATTTAATAAGAATAAATTAGAATAAAAAATTTGATTTAGTAAGTGTTAAAAGATGACTAGTAAAAATAATAAAATAATTTTAATTTGACTAAAAATTTAAAAAGTTTGGTAATTGGTTGATATTCTCATTGCCAAGATGTTTCCACAAATGACTCTTTTTTCATTCGAGACACCATCCAGCTACTTAAAAAATAAATATTACAAATGATGGATTCAAAGAAAGCATTATATTATTATTATTTTAAATTTTAGAAGAGTTGTTCTGACTAGTCTTGGTATGAACAAATTCATCCTTCGGAAAAAAAAAAAAAAAAAAAAAAACACAGCTCTTATATTTTGAAAAAATTATTTATAAATTCTATTTGGAGAAAAGTTATTTTATTTAATCTTAAAAGTTTTCTTTTAAATTAATTAGTCCTTTCTATTTTGGGTATGTTGTATTTTCTTGATTTGAGGGTTTGCAAGTTTATTTGTTTGCCCTTGTGTGTGATTTTGTTTGATTTTTACTTAATGTTAAGTGTGTGTGGGTAAGGTATGTTTCATGTTTCTATTTTTTTTGTAGGGATTTAGTGGAGTGATTTGTAGGTAGATGATGTTACCCTGTTTGTGGAGTTATTGGTGTGGTGTTCGTTCCTCAGTGTAACATTATAAAAAAACTCCTTACTATACTTTTCCTAAACGTGACACTTCAAAAAAAGCTCCTCAGTGTAACATTATAAAGTAATACACAAAAAAATTTCTTATTATAACACTTTAATGTAACACATAAAAAAACTCATTAGTGTATTTTTTCAAACGTAACGCTATAATATAACACACAAAAAAATTCCTTAATATAACACTCTAATGTAACACACACAAAAACTCTTTAGTGTAATACTCTAATGTAACATACAAAAAAAATTTCTTGATGTACTTTTTTCAAACGTAATACTCTAATATAATACTCTAAAAAAATTTCTTTATGTAATACTTTAATGTAACACACAAAAACTCCTTACTGTAACAATCTAATGTAACACACAAAAAAACTCTTTAGTGTACATTTTTCAAACATAATATTTCAATATAACACTCCAAAAAAATTCCTTAGTATAACACTTTAATGTAACACACAAAAAATTCTTTGGTGTACTTATCCCAAACGTAACGCTCCAATGTAACCAAAAAAAAAAAAAGTTTCAGTATATTTTTTCTAAATGTACCACTCTAATGTAACACTAAAAAAAAGTGTGAGATTCTTCAAACCATTTCAAAAGGAATACAAATATTCCTTAGTAAATTTTGAACAAATGTATAATTTCAAACTGTGAGTGTTACGTTTGAAAAAAGTATATTAAGAAGTTTTTTTTAGTGTTTTTTTGTGTTACATTGGAGTATGTTATATTGAAGTGTTATGTTTGAGATTACATTAATTGAAGTATTACGTTTGGAAAAAGTTCACTAAATAATTTTTATTTATTTATTTATTTTTTACATTGGAGCGTTACGTTTGGAAAAAGTACACCAAATAATTTTTTTGAGTGTTAAGTTGTTACGTTTGGATAAAGTATACCAATGAGTTTTTTAGTGTGTTACGTTATTGGAGTGTTACATTAGAGTTTTGGTTTTTGTTTGTAATGTGTGATTTGTTCTAAAATGAGAGAAAATCTAAAACTTCTATTATGCAAATTGCCCCAATATGTAATTTTACATTTTGAGAAAATCACTTTTATCTCTAAAAAATTAAATCCAAACATATAAGTGACTATCTTTTTATGTAATTTTCACTTTAATAGAACCTTTGAATTTATAAGAAGAAAAAAAAGATTAAACCATTCATAATATCATATTTTAAAATTTATTTGTTTCACCCTTAAATTTTTTAGTGATTTTAACCGAATAGGAAATAAAACTTTTAACCACGTCCGAAATTTGAATTCATGATTTCTTATATTAAAGTTGCTATTTTTTTATTAGAGACAATAAAATTATAAAACTATAAAAAAATAGTATAAATGATAGGCTCAAAGAAAGCCTATGGCATACAATCTTTTAACAGTTCAACGTATATAAGTTGACATTGTCGACTCTAGCAGTCAAATTATTCCCCATCTGGTCACCAGGCAAATAATTTATAATATAGGTATTTAAATAAATAATCAAAAATTGATTTTTAATATTAAATAATAATCTAAAAAATTTATCCAGAATATTTAGTAAAAGTAATTTAGAGTCAATTAAATTTTATTTATTTTTATCACAGTTACATATAAGAGAATTTTTTTATTCTTATGTCATTAATTGTGTACTCTAAGTTCTTAATAACAAATACATGTCCTTATTTAATTGGTAAAAATTAAAAAATAAATCACAAAAATAATATTTATGATAAAATATAAATATATTTCGTCTTATGAGTTTCGTAAATTTAATTTGTCATATTATAGTAGTAAATTATATTTGTCAATATATTAATTTTTTCATGTTTTGTAAAGTCTAAAAATTTGTCTAGTATCAAAATTATAATCTATCTTATCTTATCTTATAAGATTTGCGTAAAAATACATTAGAATTCACTTGTGATATTAAATTTAGGCTTAACATTAGATTTATGCCAACTGGTCCTTCACATAATCATTAAAAATTATCTTTATCTATTCCCAACTTATATGAATCATTTGACCTATGTATTTATTAAATTAGTAAATAGATATTTGTAAGTATTTTTTATAATAATTAAAATTTTGTACGTAGTTTAAAACAATATTTATGTTTAAAACAATTAAATGAATAGTTATATATATTTATGGATGAAAAAATTGTCTAAGATAGAGCCACCCTAAATTGTAAGTCATATTCTATTCTTAATAAATTTAAATTTTATCATAACTTATCAATTCGTGAATGATATGAGCAAATTTGGAGGGTTTTAATATTGGATTAAACACTAAAAAGTAGCTAAGAAAATTTAGTTAAAGTCGATTTTTTTGCCAATAATTTTTTTTATTTAAGCCTAGTTCTTGGAGAATCGTTTAGTTCATGTTCAATCCATGAGTTAGTAGACCCACCAATTTATTTAATTTTTAATTAGTAAATATATTTTTAAAAAAATTTATAACAAAAATAGCAATTATGTACATATTTGTTTGGTATATTTATTAACAATAAAACTCATTACAATAATAGAGTAGTAATATATCAGATGATAAATAACATGTGATCACAATAATTTTTTTATAGTTATACAAAAGTACCTAAAATGATATATAAAAAAAACAATATATGATCCATATTCAATTTTTATGTAGTAAAATTCACACTTAATTTCAACCACATATTAGTTTTCTAAATCAATTCATCACCAAAACTAGTAATATTCACATTTTCAAGACTCACCTAAACAATACTTTGACCGAGCTCATCATCATCCTTGTTATTGCCATGCTTACTACCTCCACTAACCACTATGCAACTCCAGTATAGTTTTTTATCTTTGTAAATTTAAAAAGACAATGGTGGAGAAATAAAAAAGTACCATTAGAGTTTTAAAGAGTTAAAAATAAAAAATGAAAAATAATGTGTGGTTTTAGTTTTTCTTATTCCATATATGGCTGATAATTATTATTATTTTTAAATCTAAAAATTATGGAATATTGTTTATTATTTAAAACTTTATTTATTGATGGGCAAGTCAATTAAATTTTTTTATTTTTTACAAATAAAAAAAAATGAAAAATTTGTTTAAAAAATTAAAAAAAGGCCAAATTATAAAGAACAATATAAGATGTCATATTCTATTAAAAAACTCATAACTGTATTATCAATTTACATATATCAAAAATAATAATAACAACAAAATAGGAAATACACAAACATCCACCAAAAAAATAAA